ACATAAACTGGTTAAAATTAAAATTGGCAGTTTTAATTTTAACAAATTTTAACCTCCTTATTTTTCCAATTTGAAACCTTTACAGTCATCATGCATGACCTGAGTGAATTGTATCCAGAGTTGCCAAGAGCCACTCAAACAAAGGAAATGGATGGGCATCAGCTTCGGCCAAGGAGGTCTCGTTTTCCTTTTTGATTCCAGTATTGGACACTAGTGCAATGATTGTGATACCTCAGGTTCAGATCATCAGCTCTCATCATCATTCCAAAGCTGATCATGTGCATCCATCAAGGCTTCAAAAATGATTCTACAGGTCCATCACAACTACATTGATCAATATGACTCGACAGCTTCAGCCATGCAGAAATGCTCATATCACAGATATCATGTTTTACTTAAATTTAAATTTAGTTTATCAAGGAGATCTGGCACCTCCTTAAAGAGTCGCTTGCGCCCATAATCTCCAATCATTTTTCCAGGGAAGCTCAATTGACTCAATCTACATTTGAATCCTCATCCTCTTTTGATTTTTCGGCTTGCTCTCCAGCATCAATAGGTGATGTAGGAGAATATGGGGTTACAGCAGGACCTGATCAGGAGGCATGATGATGAACATATTGCACAGTGCATGGTTGACATGAGATGCTTTCAAATCCACAGTCACAGAAAACTCCAGCCTGTGTAGATCATTCCTTCATCCAGGAAAATGTTCTCAAGTAGCTTGTAGAAGGCGAGGTGGCAGGCGCTGGGGTACTTGGAGGGGGCATTGGAAGGGGCATTGGAGAAGCACCTGGAGGGTCATGAGAACTTGGAGGGGCACCTGGAATAGGTGCTGGAGGAGGTGTATTTGGAGGTGGTAAAGGTTGCGATTGGGCATTGACATGAGGTGTCAATGCCTGGATCACCTGGTTTTGTAGCCTGATCAGCTCCAAAACACGGTCAATCTACTCATCTCCAGGCCTCCTGCGAGAGGAACTTGATTGTCCAGCTCCCATAGCAACAGCAAGAAAAAAAATCGAGCACTGAAACAGGAGCTAGAAAGCCAAAGCAGCTTCAGTTGCAAAATCCATTCTCAACACTGCAATTGCCATGCCAAACAATTTCAACATTCCAAATTCCAGACAAAACTTCTCAAATCCAGAATTCCAACCCAACATTAAACATTAAAGCCACATCCTATGAAAGTCTATAAGCCATTTTTGAAATCCACCCAGGCAGTAAACTCTCAAGTTCCAAATGTCAGGAGATCTTGCACCTCCTTAAGACAGAAAAGTGGAAAGACTATTTCCTATTTTCCTATTGAGAACTCTCAGGAGATTTTACACCTCCTTGAAACATGCAACAGAAATCAGCAGCCATTTTTTTTGCAATTTCATCCAATCTAATCCACATCCTGTCCAACCTTCCACTTTCGAATTTCCTCATTCAAAAATTCAATCACAGATTGTTCAGTAGCACCATTGTGCAAATCAGCAATGCATTTCTGGGCCAAATCCAAGCCAACTTCTCTTGAAATTTTGTTCAAAGTGAAAGATTTGATTTGTTTCTTGTCTCCAAAATTTCGTCTGACACCTAAAGCACCATACTTTCGACTGCCTTTGGCAGGATAATCTTCCAAGCGATATTCAGGAGATGCCAAGTCAACAGCAGCAGGTTCAGGATCAGCCACTGCAACAGCCGGCCGAGCTTCAACATCCTCTTCTTCAGAAGTGCCAAGTACTGCTTCACATGCAGCACGCTTTTTCAAGATTGCAGCAGGCCTTTTCAAGACTGCAGCAGGCCTTTTCAAGACTGCAGCAGGCCTTTTCAAGACTGCAGCAGGCTTTTTCCCACCTGCAGATTGCCTATAGATCTTCAAAGATTCATTGGGAATTTCAGATTCAAATTTGTTTTCACCAAAAGCAGCAATGGCGAAGCCATTTGGTCCTTCACTCATAGTAGCTTTCTCCACCTTGCTATCCACAAAGCGACATACCACCATGGCAGTAGAATCGATCCAGGTTCCAACACTCACAGGCTTCTTAGGACTCGCTTGGCTCTCTTCACTCGACACTTCTACCAATTGATGCTCTTGGCTATTCAATGTTTCTGAGCTGTGGCCTGGAGGAAATTTTTGCAAAAGTGGTTCATTCACAGGCAACTGTGGGATGGAGCTCGCATTGGAACTTTGTCTCATGAGCCTTCGCTTGGCAATGGCTTTCTGAACAAACTTGCCTTTCTGCCGGTTCCCATGGAATTCTGAGCACTCCAGATAGATCTTCACAAGCTTACCCATCCAAGGCTCATATTTCTTACTTGAAATTGACCATTTTGCTTTTGTTCTGATGTGTTGCACACATTCGACAATTGCAGAAGACCACTTCTTCGCTTCGTCACTCAAAGTGCGAGGGTTGACTTTCAAATTGTTTTCTGGAACATCAAGCCCAGAAATTTTCGATAATGCTTGCAAACTTGATCAATTTCAACATCCAAGTACTCCTTGGGATCCAAACAAGCCACCTCTGCTTTCAAACATGTGCAAAGGTCTTGAACAGAAGCAGTGTTCTTAGCTCTATTCATCTTGAGAAATCAACTGCAGATGCGATGCAGAAACAGTACATGCAGGAAATCAAAACACCAAAAGGAGATCTTGCATCTCCTTGAAGCAACCTCCAAAGGTTGGTCTTGATGCAATGATGATGTCAAAGATGTATCTAAAAACAGTGAAAAAAATCCTCCTTAAAAAAAGATTAAGGAGGATTTTTTTTAAAAAAAAACACCTTAATTAAGGAGAATTCCTCCTTAATTAAGGTGGAATTCCTTAATTAAGGAAAAATTCATCCTTAATTAAGGGAATTCCTCCTTAATTAAGGTGGAATTCCTTTAAAAAAAAACTCCTTAAATTAAATAAGGAGGAATGGAAGTTCTGGGTTCTCCTCATTGAACAGCAGGACTGGCCCATTGCAGCCTCTTACACAATCAGCCCGAAAATTTGCAACAAATAAGTGGCAGGTATGACGGTATAGTACTGCAATCCTCTACTTGTAATGGAACCGCTTTCTTTCATGTTGGAGGTTTGACATATTTTGACATGACTAGCGGCGGCACGTAACGGCACCAAGTACTGTAACAATAAGGAGAAATCTTGAAGAGAACGCCAAACATACAACATAAATCAATATAAATCAAAAGAACATGAAGCAAGCACGTCCTTTGACAAGAACTCCTGCAATGCAATGGGAAACGCTGCCATGACAACCTGCATCATGGGAATCATTTGCATCAACTTTCGAACAAGCGGCTTTAGGGGAAACAACCACGGAAGGCAAAGCCATGGCACGACGGAACAGCTCAGGACATCTCAGGACATGTCAAAGGACACGTCAAAGGACCTGAAGAACCATAGCTAAGCATGTCGTTCACTAATTAAGCACGCTCACACTTTCTCCTAGACCATTGTCATCAACAAAAAAGGTCAGAAGGGATCGAACTGGCCTCCCCTCCTTGCAGTCGCAAGCACGGGGCAGGTTCACCAGCATCTGCTTCACCAACAGAGGGGGAAGCTTGAAACCACGTCCCCGCACAGGGAGCCCAATGGACACGTTAGCGCATCGTGTCATTGTCATCCACTGAGCATATCAGTGGGTTGGCCTCAAACTCCTAGCTGCTGACAACACAACTTGCCACTGCGCCTCACACCCGGCCAACGGTGTGCAGGATCTCCACCTAGTATGCTTGGTCAATCCTGCGGGTAAGGCATTTAAGCTTGGCTTTCCATCCAGCAGCCGTCCTGGAAGGTGAAGGTGAAGTGCAGGGCACACAACAAGTTGGTCGCGATCATCCCTGGCACACATAACTCGCCAAAGAATATCTCTGGCAGCACATTCCTGCGGGCGCAGATCAAGCCTACAGGTACCCTAAATCTGGCCTCGAGATCCAGAAGGTGGGGCCCCTAGATAGCTTATTGCTAAGTTGGTTTGTTGGATCTACCTATACAATCTATATTCTATATAGTTAATTGAGTTATGAACCAACTTGGAACTGGGGGGCATCACCACCCTGACTCCTGATATGCTTGGTGTATCCTGCGGGTAAAGCGTTGGAGCTTGGCTTTACTAGTTCTTTGGCAAAACTTCTCCTCATTGAACAGCAGGACTGGCCCATTGCAGCCTCTTACACAATCAGCCCGAAAATTTGCAACAAATAAGTGGCAGGTATGACGGTATAGTACTGCAATCCTCTACTTGTAATGGAACCGCTTTCTTTCATGTTGGAGGTTTGACATATTTTGACATGACTAGCGGCGGCACGAAACGGCACCAAATACCAAGTACTGTAATAATAGGGAGAAATCTGGAAGGGAAAACCAAACATACAACATAACTCTGGAAGGCAACACCAAACATACAACATAAATCAATATAATTCAAAAGAACATGAAGCAAGCATGTCCTTTGACAAGAACTCCGGCAGTGCAATGGGAAACGCGGCCATGACAACCTGCATCATGGGAATCATTTGCATCAACTTTCGAACAAGCGGCTTTAGGGGAAACAACCACTGAAGGCAAAGCCATGGCACGACGGAACAGCTCAGGACATGTCAAAGGACACGTCAAAGGACCTGAAGAACCATAGCTAAGCATGTCGTTCACTAATTAAGCACGCTCACACTTTCTCCTAGACCATTGTCATCAACAAAAAAGGTCAGAAGGGATCGAAGTGGCCTCCCCTCCTTACAGTCGCAAGCACGGGGCAGGTTCACCAGCATCTGCTTCACCAACAGAGGGGGAAGCTTGAAACCACGTCCCCGCACAGGGAGCCCAATGGACACGTTAGCGCATCGTGTCATTGTCATCCACTGAGCATATCAGTGGGTTGGCCTCAAACTCCTAGCTGTTGACAACACAACTTGCCACTGCGCCTCACACCCGGCAAACGGTGTGCAGGATCTCCACCTAGTATGCTTGGTCAATCCTGCGGGTAAGGCATTGAAGCTTGGCTTTCCATCCAGCAGCCGTCCTGGAAGGTGAAGGTGAAGTGCAGGGCACACAACAAGTTGGTCGCGATCATCCCTGGCACACATAACTCGCCAAAAAAGATCTCTGGCAGCACATTCCTGCGGGCGCAGATCAAGCCTCCAGGTACCCTAAATCTGGCCTCCAGATCCAGAAGGTGGGGCAGGTGGGCCCCTAGATAGCTTATTGCTAAGTTGGTTTGTTGGATCTACCTATACAATCTATATTCTATATAGGTAATTGAGTTATAAAACAACTTGGAACTGGGGGGCATCACCACCCTGCCTCCTGGTATGCTTGGTGCATCCTGCGGGTAAGGCGTTGGAGCTTGGCTTTACTATTTCTTTGGCAAAACTTCTCCTCATTGAACAGCAGGACTGGCCCATTGCAGCCTCTTACACAATGAGCCCGAAAATTTGCAACAAATAAGTGGCAGGTATGACGGTATAATACTGCAATCCTCTACTTGTAACGCTTTCTTTCATGTTGGGGGTTTGACATATTTTGACATGACTAGCGGCGGCACGAATCAGCACCAAGTACTGTAACAATAAGGAGAAATCTGGAAGGGAACACCAAACATACAACATAAATCAATATAAATCAAAAGAACATGAAGCAATCATGTCCTTTGACAAGAACTCCTGCAATGCAATGGGAAACGCTGCCATGACAACCTGCATCATGGGAATCATTTGCATCAACTTTCGAACAAGCGGCTTTATGGGAAACAACCACGGAAGGCAAAGCAATGGCACGACGGAACAGATCAGGACATCTCAGGACATGTCAAAGGACACGTCAAAGGACCTGAAGAACTATAGCTAAGCATGTCGTTCACTAATTAAGCACGCTCACACTTTCTCCTAGACCATTGTCATCAACAAAAAAGGTCAGAAGGGATCGAACTGGCCTCCCCTCCTTGCAGTCGCAAGCACGGGGCAGGTTCACCAGCATCTGCTTCACCAACAGAGGGGCAAGCTGGAAACCACGTCCCCGCACAGGGAGCCCAATGGACACGTTAGCGCATCGTGTCATTGTCATCCACTGAGCATATCAGTGGGTTGGCCTCAAACTCTTAGCTGCTGACAACACAACTTGCCACTGCGCCTCACGCCCGGCCAACGGTGTGCAGGATCCCCACCTAGTATGCTTGGTCAATCCTGCGGGTAAGGCATTGAAGCTTGGCTTTCCATCCAGCAGCCGTCCTGGAAGGTGAAGGTGAAGTGCAGGGCACACAACAAGTTGGTCGCGATCATCCCTGGCACACATAACTCGCAAAAAAAAAAAATCTGGCAGCACATTCCTGCGGGCGCAGATCAAGCCTCCAGGTACCCTAAATCTGGCCTCCAGATCCAGAAGGTGGGGCCCCTACAGTAGATAGCTCATTGCTAAGTTGGTTTTTAACTCCAATAAGTAGGAATTATGGCCGATCTATCTTTATAGTCTATATGCTATATACTTGGAACTGGGGGGCATCACCACCCTGCCTCCTGGTATGCTTGGTGTATCCTGCGGGTAAAGCGTTGGAGCTTGGCTTTACTATTTCTTTGGTAAAACTTCTCCTCATTGAACAGCAGGACTGGCCCATGGCAGCCTCTTACACAATCAGCCCGAAAAATTGCAACAAATAAGTGGCAGGTATGACGGTATAATACTGCAATCCTCTACTTGTAACGCTTTCTTTCATGTTGGGGGTTTGACATATTTTGACATGACTAGCGGCGGCACGAATCAGCACCAAGTAGTGTAACAATAAGGAGAAATCTGGAAGGGAACACCAAACATACAACAGAAATCAATATAAATCAAAAGAACATGAAGCAAGCACGTCCCTTGACAAGAACTCCTGCAACGCAATGGGAAACGCTGCCATGACAACCTGCATCATTGGAATCATTTGCATCAACTTTCGAACAAGGGGCTTTAGGGGAAACAACCACGGAAGGGAAAGCCGTGGCACGACGGAACAGCTCAGGACATGTCAAAGGACATATCAAAAAGGACCTGAAGAACCATAAGTGCTAGGCATGTAATTAAGCACGCTCACACTTTCTCCTAGACCATTGTCATCAACAAAAAAGGTCAGAAGGGATCGAACTGGCCTCCCCTCATTGCAGTCGCAAGCACGGGGCAGGGTCTACTTCACCAGCATCTGCTTCACCAACAGAGTGGGAAGCTTGAAACCACATCCCCGCACAGGGAGCCCAATGGACACGTTAGCGCATCGTGTCATTGTCATCCACTGAGCATATCAGTGGGTTGGCCTCAAACTCCTAGCTGCTGCCAACACAACTTGCCACTGCGCCTCACACCCGGCCAACGGTGTGCAGGATCTCCACCTAGTATGCTTGGTCAATCCTGCGGGTAAGGCATTGAAGCTTGGCTTTCCATCCAGCAGCCGTCCTGGAAGGTGAAGGTGAAGTGCAGGGCACACAACAAGTTGGTCGCGATCATCCCTGGCACACATAACTCGCAAAAAAATATCTCTGGCAGCACATTCCTGCGGGCGCAGATCAAGCCTCCAGGTACCCTAAATCTGGCCTCCAGATCCAGAAGGTGGGGCCCTACAGTAGATAGCTCATTGCTAAGTTGGTTTGTTAGATCTACCTATATAATCTATATTCTATATAGTTAATTGAGTTATAAAACAACTTGGAACTGGGGGGCATCACCACCCTGCCTCCTGGTATGCTTGGTGTATCCTGCGGGTAAAGCGTTGGAGCTTGGCTTTACTAGTTCTTTGGCAAAACTTCTCCTCATTGAACAGCAGGACTGGCCCATTGCAGCCTCTTACACAATCAGCCCGAAAATTTGCAACAAATAAGTGGCAGGTATGACGGTATAATACTGCAATCCTCTAAATGTAATGGAGCCGCTTTCTTTCATGTTGGAGGTTTGATATATTTTGACATGACTAGCGGCGGCACGAAACGGCACCAAATACCAAGTACTGTAATAATAAGGAGAAATCTGGCCGAGAACACCAAACATACAACATAAATCTGGAAGGGAACACCAAACATACAACATAAATCAATATAATTCAAAAGAGCATGCAGCAAACATGTCCTTTGACAAGAACTCCAGCAATGCAATGGGAAACGCGGCCATGACAACCTGCATCATGGGAATCATTTGCATCAACTTTCGAACAAGCGGCTTTAGGGGAAACAACCGCGGAAGGCAAAGCCATGGCACGACGGAACAGCTCAGGACATGTCAAAGGACACGTCAAAGGACCTGAAGAACCATAGCTAAGCATGTCGTTCACTAATTAAGCACGCTCACACTTTCTCCTAGACCATTGTCATCAACAAAAAAGGTCAGAAGGGATCGAACTGGCCTCCCCTCATTGCAGTCGCAAGCACGGGGCAGGGTCTACTTCACCAGCATCTGCTTCAACAACAGAGTGGGAAGGTAGAACTAGGCTAGAACCACGTCCCCGCACAGGGAGCCCAATGGACACGTCAGCGCATCGTGTCATTGTCATCCACTGAGCATATCAGTGGGTTGGCCTCAAACTCCTAGCTGTTGACAACACAACTTGCCACTGCGCCTCACACCCGGCCAACGGTGTGCAGGATCTCCACCTAGTATGCTTGGTCAATCCTGCGGGTAAGGCATTGAAGCTTGGCTTTCCATCCAGCAGCCGTCCTGGAAGGTGAAGGTGAAGTGCAGGGCACACAACAAGTTGGTCGCGATCATCCCTGGCACAGATAACTCGCCAAAGAATATCTGTGGCAGCACATTCCTGCGGGCGCAGATCAAGCCTACAGGTACCCTAAATCTGGCCTCCAGATCCAGAAGGTGGGGCAGGTGGGGCCCCTAGATAGCTTATTGCTAAGTTGGTTTGTTAGATCTACCTATATAATCTATGTTCTACATAGTTAGTTTAGTTTTAGTTATAAACCAACTTGGAACTGGGGGGCATCACCACCCTGCCTCCTGGTATGCTTGGTGTATCCTGCGGGTAAGGCGTTGGAGCTTGGCTTTACTATTTCTTTGGCAAAACTTCTCCTCATTGAACAGCAGGACTGGCCCATTGCAGCCTCTTACGCAATCAGCCCGAAAATTTGCAACAAATAAGTGGCAGGTATGACGGTATAATACTGCAATCCTCTAAATGTAATGGAGCCGCTTTCTTTCATGTTGGAGGTTTGATATATTTTGACATGACTAGCGGCGGCACGAAACAGCACCAAGTACTGTCACAATAAGGAGAAACCTGGAAGGGAACACCAAACATGCAAAATTACTTTACTTCGAGTGATCCCCACCATGACATTTACCGATTTGTTACTGGCAAATCTTCTGGCATTCTATCTGACATATCTTCTGGCATTCGATCCGGCATTCTATCTGGCATATCTTCTGGCATATATTCTGGTATATCTTCTGGCATGTCTTCTGGAATTCTATCTGGCATATCTTCTGGCAAATGTTCTGGCATATCTTCTGGCATATCTTCTGGCATTCTATCTGGCACTCTATCTGGCATATCTTCTGGCATATTATCTGGCAAATCTTCTGGGATTCTATCTGGCATATCTTGTGGCAATCTATCTGATATGTTATCTGGCATTCTATTTGGCATACCTTCTCGCATTCTATCTGGCATATCTTCTGGCATTCTATCTGGTATATCTTCTGGCATTCTATCTGGCATATCTTCTGGCATTCTATTTGGCATATCTCATGGAATTTTATCTGGAATATCTTCTGGCATTCCATCTGGCATTCTATCTGGCATATCTTCTGGCATTCTATCTGCCCGTTGAGGTCCAGCAGTGCACACTGAGCTGGGGAGGTCCCCGGTTGAGGTCCAGCGGTGCACCCTGCGCTGGGCAAATCCCAGGTTGAGGTCCAGCGGTGCACACTGGGCTGGGCAGGTCCCAGGTTGAGGTCCAGCGGTGCACACTGAGCTGAGACGGTCCCTGGTTGAGGTCCAGCGGTGCACACTGAGCTTGAGGTTGAGCGCTGCACAGTGAGCTGGGCAGGTCCCAGGTTGAGGTCCCAGTGCACACTGAGCTGGGAAGTTGGCAAAGAGCTTGGCGAAGAGAGTTGGCAAAGAGCTTGGCGAAGAGTTGGCAAGGCGGAAGTGGAGGTGGAAGTTGATGCAGACATGGTCGAGGAGAAACTAGAGGGGGAGGAGGAGGAAGACGAGGAGGAGGAGGAGGAGAACAGCCCTGATAAAATCTAACAACCCTCACCTGGCAGGTGGGGAATAAATCAATATAAATCAAAAGAACATGAAGCAAGCACGTCCTTTGTCAAGAACCCCTGCAACGCATTGCAACGCAATGGTAAACGCTGCCATGACAACCTGCATCATTGGAATCATTTGCATCAACTTTCGAACAAGGGGCTTTAGGGGAAACAACCACGGAAGGCAAAGCCGTGGCACGACGGAACAGCTCAGGACATGTCAAAGGACATATCAAAAAGGACCTGAAGAACCATAAGTGCTAGGCATGTAATTAAGCACGCTCACACTTTCTCCTAGACCATTGTCATCAACAAAAAAGGTCAGAAGGGATCGAACTGGCCTCCCCTCATTGCAGTCGCAAGCACGGGGCAGGGTCTACTTCACCAGCATCTGCTTCACCAACAGAGTGGGATGGGAAGCTTGAAACCACATCCCCGCACAGGGAGCCCAATGGACACGTTAGCGCATCGTGTCATTGTCATCCACTGAGCATATCAGTGGGTTGGCCTCAAACTCCTAGCTGCTGACAACACAACTTGCCACTGCGCCTCACACCCGGCCAACGGTGTGCAGGATCCCCACCTAGTATGCTTGGTCAATCCTGCGGGTAAGGCATTGAAGCTTGGCTTTCCATCCAGCAGCCGTCCTGGAAGGTGAAGGTGAAGTGCAGGGCACACAACAAGTTGGTCGCGATCATCCCTGGCACAGATAACTCGCCAAAGAATATCTCTGGCAGCACATTCCTGCAGGTGCAAATCAAGCCTGCAAGTACCCTAAATCTGGCCTCCAGATCCAGAAGGTGCGGCCCCTAGCTAGCTCATTGCTAAGTTGGTTTTTAGCTCCAATAAGTAGGACTTATGGTAGGTCAATCTGTAGAGTCTATATTCTATATAGTTATTTGAGTTATAAACCAACTTGGAAATGGGGGGCATCACCACCCTGCCTCCTGGTATGCTTGGTGTATCCTGCGGGTAAAGCGTTGGAGCTTGGCTTTACTATTTCTTTGGCAAAACTTCTCCTCATTGAACAGCAGGACTGGCCCATGGCAGCCTCTTACACAATCAGCCCGAAAAATTGCAACAAATAAGTGGCAGGTATGACGGTATAATACTGCAATCCTCTACTTGTAACGCTTTCTTTCATGTTGGAGGTTTGACATATTTTGACATGACTAGCGGCGGCACGAAACGGCACCAAGTACTGTCACAATAAGGAGAAACCTGGAAGGGAACACCAAACATACAACATAAATCAATATAAATCAAAAGAACATGAAGCAAGCACGTCCCTTGACAAGAACTCCTGCAACGCAATGGGAAACGCTGCCATGACAACCTGCATCATGGGAATCATTTGCATCAACTTTCGAACAAGCGGCTTTGGGGGAAACAACCACGGAAGGCAAAGCCATGGCACGACGGAACAGCTCAGGACATGTCAAAGGACACGTCAAAGGACCTGAAGAACCATAAGTGCTAAGCATGTCGTTCACTAATTAAGCACGCTCACACCTTCTCCTAGACCATTGTCATCAACAAAAAAGGTCAGAAGGGATCGAACTGGCCTCCCCTCCTTGCAGTCGCAAGCACGGGGCAGGGTCTACTTCACCAGCATCTGCTTCACCAACAGAGTGGGAAGCTTGAAACCACGTCCCCGCACAGGGAGCCCAATGGACACGTTAGCGCATCGTGTCATTGTCATCCACTGAGCATATCAATGGGTTGGCCTCAAACTCCTAGCTGCTGACAACACAACTTGCCACTGCGCCTCACACCCGGCCAACGGTGTGCAGGATCTCCACCTACTATGCTTGGTCAATCCTGCGGGTAAGGCATTGAAGCTTGGCTTTCCATCCAGCAGCCGTCCTGGAAGGTGAAGGTGAAGTGCAGGGCACACAACAAGTTGGTCGCGATCATCCCTGGCACACATAACTCGCCAAAAAATATCTCTGGCAGCACATTCCTGCGGGCGCAGATCAAGCCTACAGGTACCCTAAATCTGGCCTCTAGATCCAGAGAATGACAACATTTTCCGGATCTGGTCCTCCATAGTTTGCCAACTTTACGCAGTAATAACTGGGCAAACTAGTCTTTCTGGTAGATATGTCAATGTCTGGGTTGCTATCCAGCTCACTTCTGGGGGCACCACATTGCAGTGATTTACACATCCCACACTACTACAGTATCATGTGCCTAATTATCTATCAGTTGCTTTATCGTATTTTACCTGGCGTTGTCGATGTTGAACGTTGAAGGAATACCCTGCCCTCTACTCAACCCATCCTCTCCGTCACGGTACGTGCCGGTGAGCGAGTGGCTGACCATATCTTTACCCAGTCATATATCTGTCTGCATTACAATATTTCACCATTTAATCTGAAATAGGTCACTGGTTGGTGGCTTCAACCCCTCTGAAACATATTAGTCAGTTGGGATGATTATTCCCAATATATGGGAAAAAACTGTTCCAAATCACCAACCAGGTCATGTTGGGATGATTCATGAGATCAATTCCTTCATACCAACCATATCTTTTGGTGACGTCGTGATGACGTCGTTCATGGTTTAATGGTTCAGCCAGAAATATGGAATAGCTGTTTTCATATACAGTAAACATATGCAAACAATCATAAACATTCATATATGGCCTTCAAAAACTGGTCCCCCAAAATGCTCTCATCGTTTGCCACCAGTATTTAGCCATTCATATGTATATACATAGCACACACACATGTATAATCATGTATATACATATGGCAGTGTGTCAAAACCATGTACCCCTGGTGAACATCAAAATACCTGTAAATGGATGTTCATCCCACTAAACATGTATCTATAGGTATTGACCCATACCCATATTAGAAACCACCTGCAGTACTGGCACGCATCGCCCTGCCCGGCTGACTTGCCTGGGTTGGCCCTTCTCATCTAGCTGTACCCAGCTGGGATTGAAGCGAAGTCCTCAGCCGCGCGCTATCCCTGATGGATGCTGTTTTCTATTGATGGGTGATTAAATGGAAACATAAATAGATTCCATAATATCTGTGGGTACATTCCATAATAAATAGATTTCCATCATAAATGTGTTCTATATGATCTTCTAAATCTGTGGATATTATGGGATACAATTAAGAATCTGCAGCTGGGATGCATCACCCATAAAACAAATGCAATTTTCGAGGCAACATGACAACATGACCATCTTGGCACTTTGCTCAATCGCTATGAGGTGGTGCCCCCAACGTTATATGGTGGATTGCCCATCTAACAACAACGTTGTAATATGTTAAAATACCCATATGGAGGTTTCCTGAAATAGGGGTACCCCTGAATCATCCATTTTAAAAGGGTTCCATTATACACCATCCATTTGGGGATCCCCCATTTATGGAAACCCCCATATATAGACCATATAATTATCTACTTAACTTTGCGGCAACTTTGCTGACAAAGGGCATGACCTTAGAACTCGGGATAATCAAGGTTCAAAAAACCACTGAAGTCATGGGTGTTCAACAAATGCTATGCTTTTCTCTCTGAACTTGGGAATTGCTATGAATCATGAAGATGTCTATTATTAAACAGGCATTTCAATCTTAACCTGGGCATTACATGGGATTGCGACCAAAATAGACACCCCCAAAAGATAGAAGTTCCGAACTTGTCCCACTCAAATAGTGATACCTAGGACTTCGTTGGTAGATGTTCGTAGTACTTTTTCTGGGAGACTAGGCTGTTGACTTCTTTTTGAGATATCGATCAGAAAAAGTAGTCCTTGATCAAGGCGCCTACTCTTGCAGTTTACCTATGTTTTCCCTGGTTTTATTTCATGCTGCATTACCATATTACACATTCAACAGCATCCAATCCTATTCCAGTTGAATTTTCTAATGTGGGCCATTGATCAAACTCAATGATGCTTGCCGACAAGTGTTACCGAATCGACAGGGTCCACATGGGTCAACCACCACCTAGCCTCTATCCACCATGTTTGCGAATACAATCGAAACGCTAAACTCTGACCAGCCATGTTCGCTCACAGAATCATATATATATATAAATCTTTGGAAGAAGCATGGACATGATGGCAAGTTCGAACACTGTGTGTGTGCACATCACCATGAGGATTGGGGTGCACGACTTATTTTGTGGGAGACCATTTGAAACTCCAGGCTTTTTCCATGACCAAATTCTATCATCAATGCAGGGGGTCGGGGAGTGACAGAAAATTCAAGGTTGCAGTGGAGGGCATAAAGTTCACGACCGGTTTTTGGAGATATCGACCGAAACGTCTGTCTACTTTTTGAATAAGCGTCCAGCAAAAAGTAGAACACTAGGGGTCAACCAGAAATTCTTGATAGTTTGAAGACCTAGGTATGAACTTTTCTAAACTTGGGGCTTTTCATATGGGTTGCTATCTTGTTCATCATCTACCCATTTTGGTGCCTTTTCGCCTAGCATCTTCCAGCGTCCAAGGGCACCGTGCGACTCGGATCTAGCCTGCATAGACCATCTGTCACCGCCAGCTGCAGCAGTTGCCACTGGCCCTGCCAACGCCTGCTACGGTTGGCGTCACTTGTTGGGGCCTCGAAGAAGTCCGTGGGACTCGCGAAAATGTGCCTTGGGATCGCACGTCGCGCCTGGAAATCCATGGCAAAAGCCTATAGGAAAATATGGGATATATGTAGAACTCTAGAACTGCTGGATTTTCCACAAATCTCTCTATGTGAGTATACCTCATGGATTGTGAAGCGTTCAGGGTTTTTGAGGTGAAGTTTGACTTGAGAAGCCGATGTATGGCCACTTTTCTGTACGGATTTTATCCCAACTTATGGGCTTTATAATTTATAGCCATGATTAATGATTACGTATACTCATACCTATATACAAAAAAGGAATAAAAAAGGATCAAAAAGGTCTTTGCTATTGAAGATTGTTGTCAAGCTCCTTGAAAATTTCCGGTAAAAAGGCTTGAATCCCAGTTGGTATGCTGTATGTACCGTACAGCCGTACAGTATACTGGTGCCGACAATGAGCTTCGGGGAGAATCTAGCTGGATATGCCTGGGATCTGAGAAGACATCTTCCAACTCTGCTCCAACTCGACAATTTATGAAAATCCCACGGGATTTGAGCAGCAGCTAAAGCCAGGGCACCCCAAATCCTCCGCGATGTGCAACCAATAGTTGTCTTTCCAGTCGCAACGGCACAGAAAGTCCTCGATTTTAACTGCTTCTAGTGCATCTGGAACATTAGTGGCTTAGATGTTGAAAATATCTTCGGATTGCAACCAATCTTTCCAATGTTGGAAGGTACTGTCACTGTTGAATCAACCAACCACATCAGTTCTCGTACAATAATTACAATAGATTACAATAGTATCTTTTAGCACAACCATGCACAACCTAATGTATCATTACTATATCCATACCTCATATTCCAAAGCCAACGCCAGTCCGACGGTCCTCCGCTGCCACCACACTGGCGAGCACCACAGCGGCAAGGCGTCCGTGTTTCCACATGGACCCAGGGAGGCGGATCCATCATTCAATGGCTGAAACACATGGATCAAACAGCATGGGAAAACAATGGAAAACAATGGGAAAGCATACATAAGCATACTATGTTTATACGTGCTTCATATGGTGGCTTGTTGAATCAAGAGTTGATTTGCTGCAAGTTCAATTTTTTGAGTGGGTTAAATGGAAATCTAATCTAAAAGTAAGAAGGCTCAAAATCACATCAATCCAGTTTGGCACTATTGTTTTGGAACAGAACTATCCAAGTTGGGGAGCTACTGATTTTGATCCCATGGCCAACTGACAAAGACTAGGGCGAACTTACTTAGTGCACCATTTGCCTAGAGGCTGAGTGGTCATAAGTCAAGTGGTACACTGGAACGATCCAAACGCAAGGTCATTTGCGACGACATCATGCTGCAACATTGTTAGCCTGAAATCCGCGAATCTGCAAGGCTCGAGTTGCTCGAGCCGAATGATCGGCTGAAATGAAACTTACATAAAAGTGAGGTGAAGTGTTCTAAACCCCAGTTACTGTACCAAAAAAAATATGGAAACAATGGAAACCCAAAAATCAATGAAAACTATCATCATTGGGGCTTCTGAACTTGGGAGACTCCTTCTGGGATGATGGTGCCGGGATATCCAATCGGGCTGTGGAAAAATCATATGAGTTCACGTTTCCCATTTGATTGGGCTATTTGGGGGCTATTTGGGGGCATACCCTATGGTTTGCCAAGGTTTGCCAAAGGTAGCCATGGAAAGCCACAAGTTTTTGGTCATGGCTAGTTCATCTATAGTTCTGGGCGCTGTTCGATTGCCGGACAGTACACCACATTTCTCACAACTAGTTATATAACTAGTTACATCCTTAGCTCCCGAATATCCCGCTATATCCCATTAACTACATGACTACATGAAATAACCACAAAACCAACATTTCCGCGAACATTTCATCATCCCATCATCCCCTCACAGTCGCACCTGAAAGGCCGGCACTGCTGCCACGAAGGGCTTCCTGTTGCTCACCAGCATCTGTTGGCCCTCCAGTTCTAGGGTGGTCAAGCCCGTCCTGGATTCGGAATCGCCAGCTCAGTTTCACCACAAAGAACGGCTACTGGATGTTGATCGGGTGATGATTTTAATGGAGTTTGATGGGAACTATGGTGGTTTCATGGATTTTCATGGTGATTTCATGGCGAAATGGTGATATGTTACCAGATATGAGTGAGAATATAACATAGCCATACAAAGCCGTGGTAATCTGACACCAGAACAACTGGAAAAAATACTGTAAAACAACGATAAAAATAAATGAAGAAAAGCAAAAGCACCGCCAAAATATGAAAGTCAACTGGAAGATATCGAGCCACGGGGTAAGTTTATAAACCCTAAATGTACCTATTGGATTTTCACAGAATGACCATACCTCATCATTCCTGGACATCCACCTGTCCGTCGCCACTTGGTCGCCCAAGCCTGAAGGCCATATCTGGATTGGTTCGCCAGTTGGTCCAATGCCTGGTTCCATCCAAACCTGACCAAGTCATTGGGGCAAATCCTTGTCTGAAACGAAAGCTTAACCATTAAGATCCATTAAATAACTACACTGACAATGGTTAATAATGGTTAGTATATGGTTATTATATGGTTAATGATGGTTAATAATAATCTGGTTGGTGGTGCTATAACCATACTGAAAAATATGAGTTCGTCAATGGGAAGGATGACAACCCATATTGAAATGGACAATAAAAAATGTTTGAAACCACCAGCCAGTAACTAAAGGTGGCCAAAACTCAGTGTGTTTCACTGACCCTTTAAAGTCGACTGTTCAAAGTCGAGGGAGACATTTTCGGCACGGCGCCAGAATTCACCGGTTGATTTGTACATTGCACCATCGAAGAATACTTTCCATGGACATGTCACCTGTCACCTAGGTCACCTAGGTCACCTAGCTATGTGCCGTGGCAAACCTTGGATACCTCACAGCCCTTTCTTCAAGCACATGCATATAATATGTATAATGATATATCTATATAAATATAAAAATAAATATCAATGAATGAATGAACGAACGAATGAATGAATGAATGAATGAATGAAAAATCAATGGATGAATGAAACATCAATGAATGAATGCTTGAATTTTCACTTATGAATTCATTTTTTTGAACAAAGAAATTCACGAATTCACAGAGAAACGATCCCCAAACGGCCAGGGCCCAGGGCCTGTGAGGATCATCCGCGCACCCAGCACCCAGGCTGGGGCTCGGAGTTGAGGATGCTGTAAATCTTGGGACAAAAATAAGCTCAGCACAGCCACCTCAGGCATGAACCTGGGCGGATGGCACATGATGGCACCCTGAAAAAAGGCAATTGTGTGTCACCATGAAATGGCATATATATAAATAAATGGGAAAATGAGTCACCAAAAAGAGGCAAATTGAACAACCAATCTCGAAATTTCACTCAGAATCTGCTCATCAAAAAGCGATGTTGAACTCACAAGAACTGTCAACTCATCAACAAAACGTGGATTTCATCAAGGATGAGATTTAACTAGCATAGGGCATGAAACTGAGCAGATTGCCTGGATCAGCATAGCAAAATGGTCCCAATTGCCTGCTTCTAAGCTGTATGATCTACTCTACGATGCCCCCTACAAATGGAGGTTTATTGCTGTTTTTTTCCCGTTGCCAATTGGTATCTTCGGCAGTGCTGATATGGGAATGTATGTGAGTGGGGACATGCCGTATGTATAGATAACTTATGGCATCTGTAATGGGAAATGATGAGATACGTTTCCCCACATAGCGTTGTGATGGAGGAAAACTGCTTAAAACATAGCAGTTCACAGTACTTGGATGTATTTGGTGAAATGATCAGCGGTTCCAACGACGTGATCATCAATGCCAGAAAGTTTTCTCACTCTCCAATGAGGAGTTGAAGAGCTAGTTAGCCTCTGGAGAGTTGTATGGATCTGCACCAAAGGCATCAGTGCACCATGACTCTAAACATTCTATACACTCCTTTATGGGACCCCAGGTCTTAGATAGCTTAGCTCTGCAGGGCCCAGGCACGCCATGAGGGCCTCTTCTAAATTGCCTTCTGTGCCGCAACTCCCGCCTGAGGTAAAGGGAACCCCAAGAAATTTGACATAAAAGTGGTTGCCCAAACCATCCATATATCGTACATTTACCATCATTTACCTACATTTAGAAGTGCTGCATCTATACCACACATAGATGATCTGGCTAAAGGTTCCTTGTGCCTAGATTTGGTTTGAAAGTCGCAGCTTGAGGTGGTTTTCACACCAGGAGGGCTAAACATGATTAAACATGTTAAACCAATGGGGTAACGCCCATACTGACGTAAAATCATGATAAACCATGGGTTCTTGGAGTCCCGAAAAGCCATGAAATGCCAACATCCCGGATTTCTTACGACATGGCCTCACCATCCTCTGCCAAGCTTCCATACAAGTTACCTCCGACCCAGGGGCCACTGGAATCCACCAGTGCCTACACGATCCACCAGCTGGGGAAGCTGCGCTCTGGGACTCAGGTGGGGTCAACCAGTGGGTCCAAATCATGCCAGGGCCATACCTCATATACCACAATTTTCGGGGTACTTTTGTGGATCCTACATGATCCTACATTGCAGATAATGACTTTTTTGCGAACTGCAATCAAGATTAATGATTAGTGGTTAGAGATCATTCCACCATATTCCATTGTTTTCCACCAGTCAATTTGTCAACATAAATGTGTCGTCCAATCAGATTCTTTACTATTGTTTTCCTTTCGGGTTGCTGGTTGCAACCCATCACAAACATGCTTGCCATTGCCAATTGGGATCATGACCAGAATAGGATCCAAACAACCGAGTGGCAGGCCAGAAGACAAGCTTGTCTAGTTACCGTACTGTACGTCACAGTTTCTTGGAACTATCCTTATCACCTTTTGTTTCCTATCTTTTCGGTTAAACAAATGATATTTGAAGTATTTTGAGGTCATGGCCTGCTTGAGCGCTGGCGTGGAGAGGTAATCGACGCCAGGTCCATTGCTGGTGGGCTGGCTGCAAAGCTCCTTCAGGGATGTGAAAAAATATGAAAACTATTTCAACCCTGGATGACTGGTTGGTGATTGAGCCACCCGTACGAACAAACATGCTACGGTAAACTTGGATCCGAATCCCAAAAAAGGTGGGAAATAACACAGAAAATGCTTGAAACATTGAAACCACAAACCAAATGCATGTTGAATGTGAAGCCTGGTTGATAAAGAAATCAGAGAGTTAGCCCAAAAATGGAACCACCAGGAGCCACCGGAACGGCCAAGGCCAAACGGTCCTTTGGGGAGTTGGGAATTCCAGGCAGAAATCCCTGCTTGTACACGGAGCCTTCCTCGTATCGGCACAAACCTGCCCAAGATCAACCAGTTCTTTCCGCAAAATGGCGCCCCATGGCCTTAAGTTATATATAGCTAAGTTGGTTTATAAATGTTGATATATAACTATAGATTAACTGCGAGTAAGTATGAATGGTTTATAGTGTTTATATGGTTAGGTATTGCAACCTGTTACACATACTTCTTAGTATAGCTAAATACGTTTAGAAAAAAAATAGCAACAAACGTAGGGGGGACCACCATGTGGCCAGGGAACGGAAACCGCTCTCCGACATGGGCAACGTCTTTGACCAATTCTTCAACTGCGACTCGAGGTTCGGGATGGTTTTGTGCTTCACCTGGGGCCCATGCAGTGCCCAGTGTCTGGTGGTCCTCCCCCCGAGATGGTGATGGTCATATTATGCATATTGTGATATCAGATTATACAAGTACGTGACTGTATATACATATATATATATATAATATTATAAATTGTATTAGAATATGTAAATATAAAATATATGATATATGTCAGTATATATATATACACATACATGGGTGCATGTGCATATATGTATGCATTATGTGTATGTGCAAATATACAGTATGTAAATGTATCTGCCTATGTATATGTCTATGTATCGCCTTCCTGTGGGGGTAGGGGTTGGGGTTGGGGGGTAACCTCATACCATATGGGGTGGGTGGGGGGCTGAAAACATGAGACACAGTATATGTATGTATGCATGCATGGATAGATACATAGTTACATATAGTTACATGTACGGTATACATATGCAACTATGCGTGTACAGAGACTAGGATATCGGTATGATGTATAATTAATTATGTCATATTATGTTATTATTATATTATATATATATATAAATTAAATCACTCCTCAGAAAGGCCATGTGGGGATAGATACCCTTGCCAACGATCATTTATAGTGACGTCGTAGTGAGGTTCAAGTCACCGAAAAAATAAAGTCCTATGCCACCGAAAGTCCCAATTGTCTTGTGCAGGAAGATCCTTTCCAATGGTACTGGGCACAGTTAAGTGCTGCAAAGGATCTGTCAAATCCCATTTTTTCCAGAATTATGACCGATGCATAATTCATGCTCTAAATGAGCAAATCCAAAGAACCGCATCTCGAGTCTACCAAATGATACCCATACCAGTACCGTGAATCTGAGTGTTGAGAAGAAACCTCCAAAACAGGAGTTATTTGTATCGTTGCTAGCCTTTGGCTACAACAGCGCCCAGCATGTAACTATTCCGTATTATTTGATGCCCCCTAAGGTTAAATACACCCGCAAACACATGTTTTTTGATTTATTTCAGTGTGACCCGGTGGCACTGAATGCTACATTGAAGCTACTTTGATCTAATTTGGCTATTCATATCGATTCAGCATGCCTCAGCTTCCAATTTGGCTTGGTCTAAAATAGGGCACCCCCAAATTTATTTAAATTTAACATAATCGTTCCCCCTAAATCACACATTTGGGATAATGTTCCCTCGTATAAAGGAGGATTCCTGAAATAGGGGTACCCCCAAATCATCCACTTAAATAGGATTTTCAATTATAAACCATCCATTTTGAGGTACCACCATTTTGAGAAACCCTCATACTGGGCTGAGTGACCACCAACAGCATGGGTCCATGCAAACCACCTGGAAATGGGCCAATTTGGGCGCTGGAAAACCGAACGAAATGGATGTCTTTTAGTGCTACGCTTGGGAAAATCATCTGAAAATCTGGGGAAAACCATGGGAAAACTGTAGGACAACCATCTTTAGATGGGAGAGATTGTCCATTGCCATGTCTGATTGGCGGAAGATATCGATGATTTCTTGGGGGTGCATCCCAGTCAGTGACTGGGTAGAACATATCCACAGTCATAGATGGATTATATATATATAGTTATATTATAAATCATCTACTAAGTGGGGATGCCAATATGGGAACATTCCAACATTTAATATGTAGATCATAGATATATACCTGTGAATGGTCCATTTTTGTAGCTTTCTATGTTATCTCACTGTAGGTTATCCCGTATCTTACCGTTGGTAGTTGGAATTGTCCATTGCAGTGTTGACGGTCCAGAGGGCAACCTCAAGTATCACACGTACGTTCAATTTCAAAATGCAGTACGTGATTACAAATGTCACTACATAGTCCTGCGCCCTTCTCAAAACTTAGGTAGCAAATCATCAACGTACCACTCACCAGGGTCATGCAGTGAACGCAATGTCACTTAGGATGGTACTATGTAAGCACCCATAGGTGCTGAGGGGGAAACAAAAAACCAACAATTTGCAACATGGGAGGCCGGCAGTCGGTGGCCCAGTACCACCTACCGCTAAGGTTAAACATGGTCAAACTATGTCAAACTTCTTTACTAGATCAAATATGACCAAACTAGATCTTAGATCGTTTCTTATTAGCCAAATTTATATGGGCCCCACTTCGCCAAGATCTTCACCGAAAACTCCGCGCCTGACAGCATCGGATCGGCCGCACAGGTGGTCAGCAGCCCAAAGAGAGCTTTTCCAAAGAGGCTTTTCCGCGGCAGGCATCCGTCAGGGCCTGCAGCCCGAGCGGCGCTTGGAAAAACGTCGCCGGTGGGAAGGGCTTGGAGGATACACAAACAGCAAGGCTTCAGCAAGGTCCTGCAATGATAAGAACATAATAAAACTTGATAAAACTATACTGATCACTATTTATTGTTGCATAATCAAGTAACCAAAATATCGTCAACAATTTTTCCTCAATCCCATGTGTTTGAACTGGATTCTTGGCTTTACTCCATGGTTAACCCAAAAGCGTTGATGGGACCCCAGCGTATGCGTGCCTTTCTTGGACAAATAGCGCGTGAGGCCATTCGCATAGCCTCAGCTAGGCATGGGGAACCCTTTCCGTGATCAAACATTACAATTGTTAAATGATCGTCCCATTAGAACCTCTATTTTTTTAGGGGATTTCCCACTGCCATACGTGATTAGTGCAGGGTGGATCCAATCTTTCGGCCGAGCAAACAATTCAAGCATGTAGCTGTTGGATGCATCTGATGATTCTTGGCACCATCTGGATTTGGGTTCGAATAAAATACCCAAACATATGATCACATATATCTAACCTTGGATTCTCTTTGGTTGTTGGGACCTCATTATCATCCATGCCTTACCCCCAGCCGAAAGTTGAATTTCCAGCGGGATATGCTGATCCAATTCCAAACAGGTTAAAATCATCTAAACTCCTAGATCTGGATGGCTACAATCCATCCAAACACCCACATACTTTGGTGGATCGACTATTGTGGGGCTGGGATACTCAATTCGTAACTCCATTTTTATCCCGTCCCATTGAAATCAAATACAACCGATATAGGCCTCAAAAATAAAGAAATTCCAGTACTAGACATATTGGAAGTCATGGCCCGTTTAGTTCGATGATTTACCTATAATTAATTATAGCTATATATTGACCTATATTTACGTCTGAAAAAATGAACAAGTATGGTTTTTCCATGCTTCCAGACCAACGGGTGGGGATAGGCGACTATGAGTACCCATGCCTCGTCCACCACTGGTGCCAAGCAACCATCCACTTCTGCGCCTGTCAAGGCTGCAGCGGCCAAATAGCAAACCTGCCGCCGGGTGTAGCCCACATAGTGTCCTGAGGTTGAAACTCGGGCACCCAAGTTGGTTAGTCATGGTTAATCATGATTCTCCATTAAACTAGCCATTAAGGAGGCATAAACTGGTATGCTGTAGTTACATCATTTTCATGTGATAAAGCTGATTTCAAATATGAACCTTAATGTTCCGGGCGCCCTCAGAGAATGTATCCTGGGCTATTTTTCTTGGGGTTCCAAATGCGCACCGGAGGAGTATATCACAAATTCGGAACACACAAATCCAATGGTTGGTTATCATGGTCCCCACAATGTTCCCCACAATGTTATGGCCAGTTTGGTGGTCCCCCGTAGTTTAAAACATATCAACAGTCCTCATCATTCGTGATAGGCAATCTCTACGCACCAAACGTCACTGATCCACTGTTCGTTGCCGGATGTCAAGAGATTGCTTATGGTGGCACATGTGAACTTATCATAACTTATCCCCAGCACCTCTGTATAACTTTTTCTGGTTGGTGGTTGACCTACCCCTCTGAAAAATATTAAATTCAAGTGGGAGTATTGTTCCCAATATATGGAAAAAATAAAAGTCATGTTCCAAACCACTAACCAGTTGTTCTAAATGTATCTCAATCTGGTCTTCTGTAAGCGCACTCCTGATCAGCGCGTCAAGTCTCCGGGGATTGAACATGATGTGGTTTCACGCAAGGCTTGCACAGCAAGTAAAAGCAGGGTGAATTGCGGACAACTTTGGGAAAGAACAAGAATTACGCCTTGATGTGAGTCATTCATCAGCATTCCAAAGACTAGGCAGGTAAAAACCTTCTTGGAAGGAGAAAAAACCCTGCCGCAAACGACAAAGAGTAGAGAACAAAACAACAGCGCGGGATCTCTGCATGCCAAGAGAGGCCAGCAGAAACAGGCCCCTCCAAAAAACAGCGTAGGTGGATAATCCGCTCGGTCACCAAGGACGCAAGCGCCACAGCAGAGAGCAAGCCCTTGGGGCAAAGAGCTCTGCCAACATGGGGGCACCGAGGAGGGAACCAAAACCAACGGTTTCGCCTCTGGTTTTATCAAACATGGCAGTAAAATATCATATTTGCAAGTATATATAGATGGATTTTCTCAGCTACTAACCTCTATTTATAGATGAGTTTCCAATTATTTTCAATAGTTTCCAATGCTTTGCCATTGGTTTCCTATATATTTTCTCATATATATGTTCCCATATTTTCCTACCTGGTAACCCTCCAGATTGCTTTTTTCTGCTCTGTTTTAAGAAAACGTGGTTTTTTGCCATTTTGAACGCAAAAAGTGCTCTGGAACGGTTTTTTCCAATCCGAACGCTTTTTTACGCTCTAGGGGTGTTTTCCTTGCAAAATGACTAAATCATACCATTTGGCATGATATCTTACGATGGCCTCCAAACTCAAGCTGACTGGCTGTCGTAGGTAGAAAACACCAAAAAAAGCTGATGTGTATATATATGTATAGTCTTATAGAGGGAAACAACTGCAGGCTATCAGCTTCGCCAAGCCAGCATGATCTGGGTAAGGTACCGGTTGAAGGTACGCAATGCCATCAAACGAGGTGATACATGTCTGGTTATGTAGGCAGCATGCGAATCTTTGGAATCAGGGGAAATTTCATCTGACCTTTCTCACGCGATCTAGCAGGATTTGGGATTGTGAGGCTTATACTGCTGAAACAAAAAACCAACCACAGGACTGAGACGTTTGCTTTGCCAACTGAAAAACTATATAATTGCCAATCAAAAGCTATAAATGCATGCACATCCCAGTCAGTAAAACTGATGTAAATTGAAAAGGGATATATGAGTCTCAAAATACCTTCAAAATTATGGTGTAACCTCTAGTAGCCGATATGAGTCTCCAAACAGGTGACCAGTGAATGTTGCATAGCTGAAAAAACCAAGAGAGAGGCAGCGCACTGCGGTAATTTTTTTTCCAGCACGTCAACTGCGGATAGTAAATCTGAAAAGGGTCAATATTTTGAATCAAGTTTTCCCAGAGTGGTCCAGGTGACTTTGGGGACGGCATGGTTTGGATCTTGAAAAGTCTTTCATTTTACGTAACATTTTGCGTAATGTCGAACGGTTTCGAACGGTTTTCGAACGCTTTTCGAACGCTTTTTGAACGCTTTCGAACGGGTACGCTTTTTTTACGCAATTGGATTTGAACGGTAATTTCCAATCTGAACGCTTTCTTTACGTAATTTTACGTTTTTTTTCAATCCGTTTTTTCCATTTTTTTAGTTTTTCTTGATTTTCTCTTTTTTTTTTGAAAACGCTTAAAAACCTGAAGATTCCTGTTAATTTTCCATTGTGGGTCAAAAAATCCCAGATAGCCACCATTCAAACCATGACAAAAGTGACAAAGCCAATATTTGGCAATCCATGGGTGCTCCCGGGTCAACATGCCCCCCTGACCATTCAGAAAAATGAAGTTTACAATTTCAGGGTTCCCTGCAGCTGCCTACCTGTCCCTCAAAACCATTTGATCGAATATATGTAGGCAGTGAAATTGTTTCAAAGCATTTTGTTGGTATTTAGGGTATACCTTTCCCCATAACCACTCTGATCAAACTTGATCACAGTCTTGTTGGAAAGCATTGCTTCCATTCCTCCGGGAGCCGGAGGTTGACATTCCCACGAAGGTATTTAATTACCTCTATGAGTTTGGCCTCAGACCAATCAGACCATTCATAATATATATATATATAAATTGAATATGGGAACAGGACATGTAATTTTGTGCCTTGGTGCGCTATATTATTGTTTCTCAATCCCACATGTTGATGATTACAAATATATATATATATAGTGTATATGCATGTGTTTGTATGCATGTGCAATTTTCAGGAAACCTCTATGTATTGGGAATATCATATATATATATATATATATGTCAATATATACAAACATCTCCCTCTATATAGTTATGTTCACCTGAGATTGGAAATGATATACCCTAAAGACCCAAGAATAGCCTCGAACGGTAAAAAGTGCTCTAGAGCACTTTTTTCTACACCGTTTGCAAAAAACCAGGTTTTCTGGAAACAGAGTTGTTTTTTCCAATCTAAGGGTTTAGCAGGTAGCTAGAAACCTAATATTTATCATAATTTGCCACATTTTTCCTGCAGTTCGAAACATCCATTTTACTTTGGGGATGTGCCAGCCATGTTTGTTCACTCTTCCGGTCCTGGATCCAGTTGATCATCCCCATGCTTTGCCACGGGAATCGGCACCTTGCCGTCCTTGCAACGAATCGCTCCGTCGAAGTCACGGCAGTGGATGGTACCCTCTGGTAAACGTTTACATAGCTGTGGAAAATCACCATTTTGAGTGGGTAAATCAATTGTTTCTACGGCATTCTACGGCCATGTTCAATGGCAAACATGTGCAAACTGTCAAATTTCCGGAGGGTAATCCATAGTTGTTTTCTTCTTCTCAGGCCTGGTCCCAGATTGACATGTAGATGTTTTCGATCATCTTGTTATATTCATGTTGCATAATGCCCACTTCTTCCAAGGTTTGAATTGCCAATCTTATTTGGAGGTTAGATCCTAATTGATGATTGGTTCAACAGGTGTATAAGCTCCATACATCCATGATGTTTGGATGAAATTGTACAATATCCTTGCTGGCATTTGTTTGACCAACGCTCCGTCCATAATCCCATAATATATAATATATGTGGAGTTACATAGATTCCACAAACTTTTCCCAGCAAACAAAACACTTGTTTTTCATGCTAACCTTGCGGACCTAGCTCCGGGCGACATCTGACCCTGTATTGAAATAAAATTTTCGCACCCATTCACCTACCATTCACCTGCCATCCGGATCTCTTGATAAAATTCCCTAGGCTGAGATGCTGGAAAGGTGTGGTTGGTGCGGTTCAGCAGCTCGTACTGCGCCTCATGTTGTCGATGCTCTCTCATTGACTCATACCACGCGAATGCGCAGGTGATGGGTAATGACACAACTTACAGCTGGGGGCACCACCTCGTACAATAACGGGTGTCAGTGGTTTCAACGGCTTTCAAACCAAACCTACGGTCGTGTAGAGAATCACCATGACATTTAATCTGGCTGGTAGTGGGGACTCCTCCTCGTCATGGACGTAAAAATCCTTTAAAAACACATGAAATCACCATAAATCACCCATGTTCACTGGCAGATTAGATGACTACAAACTATTTTTTCATGTTCATGTTCATCATCATCGTCATCTTCTTCATCTTCGTCTTCTTCTTCATCTTCTTCATCATCCTCATCCTCATCTTCATCTTGCTTTTGAATGCCGGAGTTTCCAGCCAATGACCAACCGAGGGCTCTCTTTTTTTACTTTGTTTATCAAGCTCAAGTGAAGCCGACCCCCAAACCCTCTTGGGCCCAAACCCAATAAACGACATCTTGCCACCACCAGGTCTTGTCCGGATGATTCGATGCTGGAAAACTTGTCGCCCACCAATCTGAAGCAGCATGTTCGATAGGTTATTTGGGAGCGTTCGCAGGAAACCCAGATTTTGGCCCAAAAAACGGGTCCTTGTATATTTTTACCCTCTGGTAAACTAACAGCATAGCCATTGAACATGGCCATTTATAGATTTTATAGTGGATGTTCCCATTCAAAATGGTGGATCTTTCCATCGTCATGTAAACGTTTACCAAAGGGCAAATGTTCACTTCATCCAAGTCTGGATTTCCAATGATTTCCAGGCTGGATGTCAACAGCAGCTTCATCCCCACACCGGTTGACGGCAGCTTCCCTGGATTTGAATCATCCCCATGAAGCATGAGCCCTGCCGATTTGAGGTGGGGATCAAGCTGGTAATATTGAAGTAGGCCTCATACACACTAAAAAGGTTCACCTTGGAAAGTAACATATTATTTTGCTAAAGCTCTGGCGTCCAGAGTGATGATGTTGTTTGACACAGATGTTTTTTTTTTGGGGAGTGCATGACGCTATCCGGGGCCGTGTTATTAAGTCACTCTTTTTTGGAGGGGCACACGGGCAAAGATAGGATATCTTTAATATATATATATATATACATATGTATGTTTTTGTAATGTCTGCACTGCAAAAAGACACGTTTCTTTTTTGGGTATTTGATGGTATATGTATATTAGTAATTGTATTTACATGTTTGGCATGTATATACTGTGTATACATGGATGTACACATGTAGTCTAGTGCGTACGTATACTAGTTTATCTGTTTATTTGTTTGACATAATTGCATATGTCACATGTCATATATCCAGAATAGTTGATTACAGTACATTAAACATAATATGCCATATGTACATATGTGTACATAAAAATAGTCTTATTTGTTTATTCACTTGCACATTAAGTACTGGACAAACAATTCCTGTTTTGCATTTGCTGCTTCATCTTTTCCCAGAAACTATTGCCACCATCCAACCATCACATCCCACGGTCGCGGCATCCCGGGCACCTTTCTCATTTGGAAAGGCATCCTTGAAAGCATCCTTGGCATTGCACTGGTGACAAGTGACTTATTGATGACGATGCTGGTGCTATCATCTTCGTTGTGATCATCAGCAGCATCATCACGATCAACATTTTCATGGTCATGCTCGCGGCCATGGTCATATTGCGAGAGGCAACCACACCGGATCGACACGGACACAAGACACAATGAAACTGGATGTATCGACAATGTGCAACAGAAACCGTCCGTCAGATCTGCTATGTTCATCATGATCTCAATCCTCTCCGTCCGTCCCTGGAAACTCCCATGATCTTTGTTTCATCCATGTGCCATCTGACCAAGTTTCAATGAGACTCCGCTTGCCAGCCTTCAATCTCCCAGTTTTCCATGGGCTATTGGTGACCTCAGCTCCATTGCCGAGGCTTCACCCACACCAAATCTGTTATTGTGTGTTGAATATGCTGTGTTTCTTTTGATTGTTTCTCACATGTGTTTTGTGTTTTTCAATATTCAATATGATTTTCAATGTGTTCCTCACGTTGTTGGGCTGACTATGATGTTCACCCTCCGTTCTGGTTGGAGGTGATTGTCTTCCCATTCATTGATTGAATATGATGTTCCTCACATTTTGGCAGATATGGCGCCTAATTCAAGCCACAGGGATGATGAAACACCGGCTTAATCAATTCGGGACCCCCGGAGATAGTGATTGTTTGCTAATCACACATGGTTCCCAACCACATGAATCAACCTCGGCTTCACCATCAGTCACAAATGTATGGCTAAAGTTGATCTGTCTCGCTTTCTCGCTCTCGCATATTTGGGAAGGGATTTTGCAACTAGCCCCAAAAAATATGAAGCTTCACGTAGCCATGCATTCAGCTATCATTCCAATCAACATTGCAGTTGGGATATCCGTCTCCCCCCATCACTGCTTGAAGCAAACCTCAACGTTCTGGATGATTTGACCATATTTAACCTAAATCACCAATTGAGATATTTAAGGCCATCAAGTTGCACGGTTCAACAAAACATTGCTGTACCATGGCCGACATGTCATTTGCAAGGCTCGGCCATGGTATTAGCTGTGTATTGTCCACCCAACAAATATATGCCCAGCTGAGTAAATGGTGACACATAGCCTATGTCCTATGTCTGGTTATCCAATATGGTGAAAATTAATGCATATTGACAAGTGTTTTTCCTATGAGAAACCCGATAGGGATATCCAGCGCCAGTTGAAAAACAGCAATCCGGGCAAATCATAGATCTGCCTGCTGAACACTCAACAAGGGGGGCATACCTCGGGCAAACAAAGTGAGAGTTATGTCGCTACTATAGCTACTATAGCTACTACAATATTACCACTTCGGCCTTGGGGTCCATATTCATCGACTTTGTCGATTTTTTTTACTCCGCAAACAGTGCCTTTGCTTGTGGTTTCGATTAACATATATATATATATTCGTCAGTTGGGATCATCATGAGGAAAAAAATGATTGTTCTTTTCAGAGTTTTATGAAACATTCAGGAACCACTGGGACAAGTCCAATTTGAAAGTAAAAGTCAAAAGTATTATCAATGATCCTAGTTAGTAGCTGGTTAAGTCCCCTAACTATGTAAATTATATGAGATTAAATAGATGATTAGATCCATGGTTGTCCCATATATTGGCTGTAGCTGGCGAGTTGCGAACCAGTTACGAAATTTGTTGGGTAACCAATGGCAATGATAAATTAGTTTCGAAAACACCAATAAACCCTAGCTTTCACCGAATTATAAACTAACTTGGCTATCTCTGGAGTCCCAACCTGTAGTAACAAAATGTAACAAGTCCCCTCAAATCAGATCCACAGTGATCATCTATTTACATATTATATAGATATAATTCGTGGGATAATAATTGGATAGCGATAGTAATACCATGATTAGCATAC